CTGCCCAGCAGCCTAAAGCCATCAGTCTTCATGAAACTTCATAGGTGAAAAAGTCCTGCATTTTGAAAGCCACTGATCACCTGTAAGACAGTAAGCCACAGCAGCAGCTACCTGTGCTCCATCCTTTCTTTGGAGAGGGTGAGGTCTTTGCAAGCATGGATTTTTACCTGTATCCCATCAGTCTTTGTCTCAGGCAGGGATGCTACAAGCAGAGTTGCAATCGGGACTCCTGCCTCGTCTGTAAGGTTTCTGCTGCTTTTCCTCATGCATCCATTAGATATAAAACTGCAACTACTATCTCTGTTTTCAGGCTGGGCATCTGTCCAGGCTGGGAAATCAAAACTATTTCTCTCTTGTGTAGGATATTTCTAGGTCCCGGCCACCGCAGAGAGCTTTGCCAGCCGATCCCATCCCAAACAGATCCAGAGCCTGGCCAGGGCACAGCTCTGCCATCTCACTGCCTCCTGCACACACTAGAACCCCAGGACAACTCCAGCCTGTGACAGAGGTAGGCACTGAGCACAGTGATGGGAAACACAGCAGCGTCCCCTCACCACGAGGGAATAAAAGTATTCTGAAGGGAATAACCTTGCTATCATATTGCAAAACATCTTCATTCACAGTGCTGGTGGGTGGAAATGGAGAGGCTGTTGGGTTGGTTGCCTTTATTGCAGGGCAATAAAGTTTACCTGATCCTTATTGCGTTTACTGAGTTAAGCAAAACAGTTGACTCAGTTCTCCACATCCCTGAGCACTTCCTCAGGTAAGAACCTGGGAGAATTTCCTGCGTAATGTGTTAGGGTATGAATGCATGTGAATGGAGACAGGCTTCCCCTGGCTGGCTGTAACATCAGCTCCAGGAAGAGATGGCAGTGTCTGCTTTTCATCAGTGCTCACTCCTCCCTCTTTTCCCTTTTTCTATCTCATCCAGAATACTGGTGTCAGGACGGCTGGAGCAGTGAATATCTTGAAGCCAGGCTCCCGGGGGCAGTCATGAAGCACACTGTTCCTGGCTGGCTCCAACCTTCACAGGGGACTGGATGGCCTTCATCACCCAAAAACCCATTCACGGCCACAGGCAGGGTCTTGGCTCCTCTCCTCCAGCCTCCCCTGTTTCCTATGTGACTCAACAAGCTGCAGTAAGGCTTGGCAGGAGTGCCTCCAGGAACGGCACTGGTACATGCCAAGCTGAACTCAACCCTCTCTGCTGATAGCGTTTTCCATATAGGAATGACTTGTTCATACGGTATTTAAATATTACTGTGCAATATCCAGTGCTGGGATGGAGCGATTTCACGTGTTTCTAATCAGTTATTTAAGTCTTACCAGGGAGGACAAGCTCTGAGTGCAGGTGCTGGCCTGGATGGACTTTCATGTAAGACCCAGCCCTGTTGGCTTCCTCAGCCCATCCACACAGCTGCAGGAGCATAGGTTGGTGCTATACAGAAACCACTGCCTCCTGGGAGAGCAGAAGGCAGCTGTTGAAACTTTCTTTGGCTTATTCTCAGTTTACAGTGGGTGGCAAATGAGGCCACAACAGGGAGCAAACCATGAAAATATTCCCGGTTAAAGTAATTTGTGGGTCACAGTGGATTTTGATTGGCTTTAATAGAGTGGATTATTTTCCCCATATAATCGTCTTCAGCAAGAGCGCTGCAACTTGCCAGTCCTCCATCACTCGCTTGTCTTGCCTCAGTGCTGTACGACAGGGAAGCATCCCCAGTGCAGCCCATGTGCTCTCATCTGTGGCACTGGGACACAGTCAAGGTACGACAGGGAAACTCTGACAAGAGTAAACAGCCAGAAGGAAGCTCAGCAAAACCCAGTGCTGAGACCTTCTCTCCAACATGCGGTACCATGGATCAGTGACATATTTGCACGTGTCTCCTCAGGCTTCAGCCTGTGCTGAGCAGTAGTTCAGCATGGGTTGTCTGCTCCCCATACCGGTGAGAAACCTACCTTCAAATTGCCCAGGTGGTAAACCAACATGGATATTACTGCAACACATGGTGCTTTTGTGGGGCAGCTCGTTTACTCCAGGTTTTTCTCCAGTATGTGAATGGAGAGAGCTGTCTGTGTGCACTTTAAGCAGCTGATGGTTCTGACCCTGAGGACCTTCCCTTATGACTCCCTGCATTTTTTTTCCTCACAACAGTTTGGGCTGTTTTACATTGGTTTTTCCTCAGGATTTTAAATTAAGACCTTTAGTTATGCCAGATTTCTTCCTTTTTCTTTTTTTTTTTTTAACTTGAAATGATTTCCTTGGAGAACACAGGGAATGCTGGAGCTATGGTTACAACAGTTCCGTTGTGTCTGATCTATTATGGACAAATCCTCAGTGATTGCTGCTGCGCATGTGAGAAACTGTAATATTGGCATAAAGTCTTGTCTGATGGTTCTTTCCCAAAAGTTCTTTCCCAAAGATTGAAAAAGACCCAAAACATAACAAAACAGATAAGCCCCAAGCACTCATTAAATGTGCAGTTATTTGTAGCAGTTAAATGACTTAAATCCTACTAGGTTTTGCAACTTCACTACCTCTTTCTCCACAAGGAAACAGTACACAGGGTCTGTCTTGAATTTGTCATCGAGTATTCCTTGTCTTGACCGTTTTGGACCTTTTTCTACCTTCTATATGCCTGGAACAAAAACCATCCTAAAATACTCCCCAAAATAAGGGATGGCAAGTGAAAAGACGTCAGCTTTTACTGTCTTTTTCTGTAGTTGGAATATATTGCATATAAACAACCTATTATCAAACAACCCCCAGATTTGCTGTTTCTTGGGGCGCAGCTAGTGTTGCTATGTAATGGTGTGTTTTACTGCTCACAGGTGGAGCAGTAGGCTGGACACATGCTGTATGAACACTGTAGTAATACAGCTTCAACCACAAGAACTTGACCTTGTATCTGAGCCCTCACTGAAGGCAGCAGCAGACTTCTGCTGCAGTCAGTGATCTTTATCAAATGGCCACCAAAAAATATCACTAAAACTATTTTCACTGTATTTTATGTGATCACAAAGCCCATGGGCACACAAAGCTCAGAGAACTGCATGTGCCCAAACTCTAACGGAAAACCTTATCGCTGGAATATTGTAAAGTCTCCAAAAGGTAGTTTTAAGTAAATCCTTTTAAGTTTTCATATATGTGCAAGTTGAGTGAATGAGAACGGGGGAACTGCAGGGGGAGTGAAGATGGTGAAACGCTGGGAGAGCACATACCAAAAACACATCTCACTTTCTCCTGTGTCCACATATTAATGGTTTACAATAATGTTCTCTATGCAAATACTTGAAGAATGCAATTCATTGTGCCTTTTGCCTGGTTTTAATAAATTTGTCAGTTGTCATTCGCAAGTGTGTGTCATTAATCGGTGTGCCATTTCATTACCTCGATTCAAACCTTCATTTTACATAGGGCATTTGTCCACAGATGGCAGAGAGCAAGAAATGACTTTTATGAAATGCAGCTCTAGGAAGTGAGGAAAGAAGATCCCGGCTACAGGCTTTTTCTAAGGTTAGATGCATGAAGCATGACACCAATTACAATGACAAAAAGAAGCTCGAGAGGGAGTTACTTGGATTATTTTCTGCTACCAAACGAGGGCGCTGCTGGTTTACTCTCTGCCCAGATGCTCTTCTGTACTCAGCTCTCCATCAGCCTGTTTATCTTTTAGGGCTTCACCCGTAAGATCAGACAAATCACGAAAAACTTTCAGATTCACCTGCAACGGTGTGGTTTTGGTTTTTGTTGGGTTTTTTTGTTGTTTCTTTTTTTGCTTTTTTTTTTTTTTTTAGAAAAAGCCTTTATTTCATTTTCCACATTCCAAAAAAATAGAATTGAAATATTACTACAACAAGAGATTGCATATTCCCACCCCCCAAACCCATGTTGCATTTGCTCAGCGATGCTCAGGCCCAGGTATAATCAGGTCAGCATCTCAGACAGCATCAGTGCTCCAGGGCTAACCCAGGCAGAGCTGCCTCTGGATCAAGCCAGCCTGGCAAAGCCAGCTCAGGCTTTGCTGCTCCCTGTTTGGGATTTACTGTGAGAAGATGGGCTTTAATCTCCGTTTGCAGCAGGATGGGAAAAACTTTAACTGCAGCAGTACCTTCCCTTTTCGCCTTCCAGATTAAAATGTTATTTCTCTCATTTCTTCATCGTCACCACTGACAGAACTCCAAGGGGGCTTTGAAGGTGACCCATGTGCAAGAGTCCAGGTAACATCCATGCTGTATTGAGAAAGATGGAGAGGAGTGAACACAACCACTCTGGAGTAAACTGCATCCCTACAGTTCTGCAGAGCATCATCCACTTATGTCTGTTTGTCTTTTAACATACAACTCATACCTCCCTTTAAACAACAAAAACGTTTTTGAGTTTAAATGATAGCAGGAAATGTCATGGGGCTCCAAGAGCTGGGAGGCTCTCCAAGGTCAAGACATTTCCTAAGAAAAGAAATACTGAAAACTTACAGCCATTTGCTCTTTCAGCCTGAAAAGACAGTGCTGCAGTGTTTCTCCTGACATGGAGTTTACCTTGCCAGAGCTCCCAGCCTGAGCAGGGGCTGCCCCTTGCTAAGTAAGGTCTAGATCAGGGCCAGTGGCTTCACCAATCACATCAGCATGGCCTGGACACCATTGCTGCTAAGGAAAAAGCCCAGATAAACAAAACGCCATGTAAAGCTAAGTAACACTAGCTAGTTACTAACTAGTGCTGCAGGGAAACTCCTGTACCTGTCAAAAACAAAAGCTGAAAAAGATTTATTTGCCATCATCCTATAAAATCATTTCATGGGTCCTGCCACTGAGCCTGAGTGAATGCCTGCTCCAAAATTCACCATGTTTTGCCATATTCATCGATATTCTTGCCCCATATTTGCAAAGCAAGTAATTAATAAGGATGAGCAGAGCTTGAATAGATGTGCACCACTCAGTCCTTGTCTCTTACCTGTCAGAGATACTGGTGTGTATTTTGGAGCTCATGCAAGTGCCTAGAAAGAGGGAAAAAAGGACAAAAAACCACTAATCAGTGATTCAGTCAGGGCCTGGAAATAAACACATCAATGACCGCTTGGGGAAGGAGTGCAAGAGTAATTGTTAGAATTCCCTGCCAAGAATAAGAGATGGGAAGGGGCCTCAGAGATCATATTTCAAGAGGATTTTCATTTTCAGTGGCTGCATGTATTAAAACCCAGTAAGGACTAAACCCGCTCCTTGCTGCCACATCATAACAAAGATCCAATACCAAAGCCCTGAGAAAGACTTGGTTTGACTCTACCAAGTTTTGGATAAGACACTGTTGGTTTCATTTTCTGCTTTTCCTTTTCTAAACTGCTCACTAGCATCCGGAATATTGACATCAACCCATTTACCCAACCTCCAGACCCTTGCATATAACACATTAGGTGTAGATCATGAATACTTTGGGTTTATCCTCTGGGGCGATGCTGGAGTTGTCCACCTCTATCAGGATGTTCTTGTCATCTCGGGTGACTGGTGCTTGCTGCTCACTCTGGAGGACCTGTGGTAGATTCCCTAAACTGACATCCATGTCTTTGAAAGCATGGAGTAAAAACACCCCCAGAATGATGGTGAGGAAGCCACAAACTGTCCCAATGATGTCAACAACTGTCATGGTGACCCACTCCTTAAAGAGGATGACGGAAGTTGTAATGACGATGGTGGTGAACAGTACGTAGTAGATGGGAAACACCAAAGATGTATTGAAAATATCTAGAGACTTATTGAGGTAGTTAATTTGTGTAGTGATGGATGCCACCAGCGTGACGACTAGGATCCACGTCAATGGGTGCTGCAGCACAGGCTGGCCAGCAAAGAAGCCCTTAATGGCAATTCCCAGGCCCTTGACTGAGGACACGGAGAAGGCACCAATAACAGAGCAGATGGTGAGGTAGATGAGGATGTTGCTCTGGCCATAGCGGGGTGCGAAGTAGAAGATCAGGAGGAAGCAGACAGCCAAGAGGATCGCAGCATAAGCAAGGAAACCTGGAAGAGGAAGAGATATAACTCAAAACTGAGCAGTGGGCATGGGGAGCAGTACATCCTGCCCAGCCCCAAGAGAGAACACAACCTCCCGCATACCTGGTTCTTTCAGCTTAGAAGACATTTCCTCCAGAGTGGTGACCTCCTCGTCCTCTGGGGCATGTATCACCATCACAGTGCTGCCCACGAGGCTCAGCATGCAGCCCAGCTTTCCCAGCATGTTGAGCCGTTCTCCAAGCAAATATGAAGATAGGATGGCACTGCATGGGGCAGAAAAATGTCAGCAGGTCCTTTAAAGTCCTTTACAGAAGGAACAGCAGCTAAAATAAGGTAAAGAATGCCTTCATGTGATATAAGAACATAAATTTAGAGTAAATTTGTTGGATTCCAGTGTGTGATTACACAATCACATTGCATCTACCGACAGCTGAACCCGCAGAGACGCAGGTGTGATCTCCAGCTCACAGCTCTTGTATCAGCAAGGTGAGGAAAATGCTGAAGGCGTTAGCACACCCTCAGGAATATTTTCAAGGTCTACAGATTCACTTAGGAGCTGCTGGCCCTTACTAAGCCTTTAGATCCCAAGGAAATGACTCCTGAGAAAAACAGAGATAAAAAACCCCAACCAAACAACAAAAGAGTTACATCAGTTGTAACTAAATCATCAGAACTATTAAGGCCCAGAGAAGCTCTGAATGTACAGGGGCTACAGATATATCTGCAGAAATATATAGTTGTTGTCCATAAAAATTTGGGACAAGACACTGGAGCAGCCCTAATTTGTTTCTGCATTTCACTGTTAACAGACTTTCTAGAGCCTTCAGTACCTGGAGTCGTGTATTTTGATATGAATCTCCTTCTTAAGAATAAATAAAATAGGGTTTCAGCCCTTTTAACAACAGGCAGAAATACAAATGCACAACATTAAAGCCCCCTAAAAGCCTAGGACTTAAAAGGCAAATGACAGAGTTTAAATACAAGCCTGACTTTTTTGACCCTTTTAGATTTCCATGCTGTTCACTATGAGAACAAAACAAAACAAACAAACAAAAGTTTGAATTGGTAAAAGAACTGTAAAAAAGAAGAAAATAACACTGATATTTGCAATAATTTAAGTCCCCAAAGGCATGCTACTTAATTCATCACTTTCCAAATGATCCCCCAAAAGGACAACATGTAGAAATCACAGGACATTTTTTCCTTTAGGCAGAATAATTCACATTCCTCTCACTTCAAGACTTCCTATCTTCCAAGACAAACAAGCAAACAAAAAGGCAAACTGCAAACTACAGACTCATAAATCACCTTATGAGAACGCTCAGAGCCCCCAGAGGCGTCACAATCGTTGCAGGAGCAAAGGCATAGGCAGCAAAGTTGGCAGCTTCCCCTCCACCCACTAAACAAACACAAGAAAAAGAAATAGCAATGGGTTACAGCAGGCTTTCTGTGTTTTCTCCTTTGGGCTTGCAGACTAGTGAGACATCAGTTAGACAGTGGTGTTTTTTATGAGGGATTCCATGCTGCTGCTAAACAGGGCCAAATAATGGGTGCAAATCTACTACAGATTAATACAAGGAGAGAAGCATCCCTAGAGCCCAGGGCTACATGGAGCAGGGCTGCAGGTGCCAGGGCTTGGCCTTGTCACAGCTGATCCATATGAGCTCATTAACATAGGGTCATATATATATGACCCATATGAACTCATTAACACAGGCAGCTGCAGTGTGTCTGGGTGGTTAATGAGGGGTGGGCACGTGTAGGAGCCCCAGTGCTGGGTGGCAGCTCCTCACCTACAAGATGTCTCTCCATGGGGTTGTGGTGTTGCTCTCTGGCAGAGATGTCCTTGTTCCCTGAGCAGTGAGTATTGTGTGCTTGCTTATGGGTTGTGCTGTGGTGGTTGTGCAGTAGGAGCTGCAAGGGCAGAGCAAGGTGGGAGTACCTGGAGCTGCTGCAGTGGTGAGAGCCAAAAACACCTGCTTTGAAAGACTGGGTTGTAAAACCTGCTGCTCTCTAAATGGCTGCGATTCCATTTGGGAAGACACTGTAATGTACAGCATCAAAAAAGGTTTTAAGGCTGGCTTTAAGAGAAAACAAGCTTTCCTGAAGAAAGGAACTGCTACCAACACCTCCTTCTTATCACCCCTGTGCAGGAGCAATAACCTTTCCCAGGGGCCCCAGGCATGCATGGGAGGTTGTTTGCCCTGTGCCTGGTATGCAGGCAGACCATCCGACTACCTTATTAAAACCTGGCTTTTCATGCATTTGATCTGGTAAAACTGAGCTATCAAGTCCTACCAGCCCTGCAGGAAGATGGGAGATTCTGTGTGGCTCACTGCTTTCCCTGAGGTGCCTTTGCAGAGGATGGGGGAACTTGCCAGAAAAAAGGATTTAAGCCACTAGATGCTGGGCTTATTCCACACCTCATTCACAGGGACAAATGCACTGGAAAAGCTGAAAACCCAGGAAAGCAGCTTCTACTTACTGGTTAACAAGCCAGCCCACCAGAGCCAGTCCTTTAGGTAGCCATGGCCTCCATCTCCTGGGGAAGCAAAGCACACAGATATGCAGGAGTTAACAATTGTGTTCTTCAGAGAAAGAGATGAGAAACAGCCTTTTGTAGAGATATAAATTGCAAGAGGAAGAATGTGACAAAGAAAGCTTCTGGAAGGACACAATATGCAGAGATGTTCTCCTATATGGAAATTATGTTGAATCAAGGGATTAGCAGAAGCTGGCACTTAGGGCTGGACAACACAAATACAATAAAAGCAGTGGTTTAATCCTGGGTGGCAGTGGGAATGACACCGATTGCCCCAAAGGTTATGGGCCTGAGATGCAGCCTGCCCTCCTTCAGCAAGGGGCCTGGGGCTGCCCTTCAGCCCTGGGAGCTGTGGTCATCCTCACCGATTCATCAGGATGCATCGGCCTCTCAGTGTGTCAATAAACACCCCAGCTGAGCTCCCATGGACTGGTCATGTCTTGTCTGGCATGTTCCACTTGCCTGTTCCCTGTGCATCCTCCTGGAGCAGAGGGATGAAGGATGGCAGGGGCTACTCTGTGCTGGGTACCTTCCACCCAAAGACTGGGACACTGCCAGCTGCATCCTGCCTGCAAGGAAGCTGTGCTTCACCTCGTGTCGTGCTGCCTCACTGTGGAGTCTCGCGTATGGATGCTAAGGTAAGGCAATGAGTTTTTCCAAACCTTGTTTTCTAATTCAAGTGAGGGTTATAGCTATGAAGGATGAAGAGAGGAAAAGGTGGCTGGTTGCCCTGCGCAGGCATGTGGTGCCATAGTCTGTGCTGCTGTATGGTTGTGGTGAAGGCTCCCTGTGTCCTGTACCAGTGGTTATCTGCTCCATTGGTACACTGCCTTGTATCATAGGGCCTCAGCCTGAACAGTCAGAAATCCTAATGTTAACTTCATGTGCATCATTATGCGACTGAGCATTTCTGATGAAAAATGATTGCTGGCATTGGAACAGCTAGGAAGAAAATGTGCATATAAATGAAGAATGGACATACTGTGCTGGGAACTAACCCGGCTCTGGTCTTAACCCACACGTTGTTAGATGTGAGGAGCTTGAGTTTGCTGACACTGTGAACCTTGATTTTGCTGGGTCAGAGACAGCCTGTGTTCTTGCTGAGTCTGACCTGACTGGTCAGTAATAGCAGTGCTTGATCTGCCTTGGAGAAAAGTGATGTGCTCTCAGATAGCAGGGGTGAAACACTGGGACTGAGAGATTACAGGACAAGACAGGAAAAGGGGGAATGAAGAGGCAGACATCTTTTGCTCGAATTCAGGCTCTTGTTTCTCAACAAGTTCAAATGTGATGCTTTGTTATGCCTTAAAAAATTGCTGATTTATTTGCTCTTGGGGGTTTTTGTTTGGCTGGGTTTGTTTCTCAAGAACTCTTATGGTCAGCTATGCTTTTATGTCATGAATCTCTAATTCTTGGTTAAACATCCTGAAAAATAGGGAGGGGTTTGCACTTGTTTTACTCACTTGGCTCTGTTGTGAGAAGAGTTCATGGAGGTAAAGAGAGAGGCATTTTCTACAGTCAAAACAATACTGGTGTTTCATTGCGCGGATATAATGCCAAAAAGCAAACCTTTTTGAGTTCAGCAGTTGCATGTGGCCAGTGTAATGGCAGAGAATGGAGATGGACCCAAGACTGGCCTAGAGCTCAGGTGCTGTTGGTAGCATTGCTGGTTGACTCTGGACTCGACCCATGCCTCTATGTCCCCATTTGGGAGCAGTGATATTTACTTCCTTTGTAAAATGAATTGAGAATTGTTCCCAGGCCAGAACTAGGCAGCAGTAGTATTTTAATTATCATTATTTTGTTTTGTAGTTATGCAAGTAGGTCAGTGCCAGGTAGGGCTGAAGCTGCTGCTGGAGTGCATGTTTACAGTGCTGATGGGATGTGTCAATTCCACAGTGTAATTCTGCTGTAGGCAGTGCTCCTTCACCATTTCCCATCCACATATATGTGCACATAAACACACACCTCTCCCTGAGAGCTTGGTGCTAGAGGAAAGTTGTCCACATGTTGAGCAACATAGCTCGGAAGTATCCTTCCTGAAGACCACAAGCAGATTGCAGGCATGCGGTCTTGCATTAAGGAATGGTTTTTGCTAATGCAATTAAAGCACATGGGGCCTCGTCCTTGTCTCAGTGACTTGCTGGTAAAACTGCCTAGTGCATCAATAAGGGCAAGAGTGGGGTCATGGAGCTGCGCTGTTCTGCTGTTTGGCATGGTGATGACTTGTACCTTTTTGCAAAGGGGCTCATTTCAAAAAGCTTTCACACCAATTCCTCACACACAGGCCAGCTCTGATGGACGTGTATTATTCCTTTTATCATACAGTGCATGTGACTTGCTATCTGCAGTGCAAGGCAGGGGAATGCTGCTTTTAGCTCAGCCATTCCAGTGCAGGGCTTTGTAAATTAGCTCCTCTGCTCCAGCACAGTGTTGATAATCTAGGTCTTGCAAAAATACATCCACAAAAGGTCTTATTTACATTGCTTATGGAAGCTGATGTGTTGCCTTGCCTTATGAATGCTGGAGTTCTGGGAACAGGTGGATCTCCCCCTTCTTACCCCCACAAAAGCCATACCTGCCCTGGTGCCTCCCTTCTCTACCAGCCGCAGCAGCCCCTTCTTCTTGAGGATGACACTACTTCCGATGAGAAAGCTGGAGAAGACAGCCAAGCCCAGGCCAATGTAGAATCCATAACTGGTTTCTAGCCGAGTTACCCAGGAGTTATCTGAAGTCCCATTGTCCCAGACAGGGTCAGCATTGCCGATCACTTGGCACACAACCCGGTGGGAAAGGCACGAAAGGGTGAGCAGAGACCCTGTGCAGATAAAACAGCAGTTATTGATATGACTATCAACAGTGCCTCTATTGTCCTTTGGACTCATTCAGATGTCCCTCTGAGCAGCCACCCATGCTCTCACCCTAAGGGCACGCACCCACCAGCTCCCAGGACACCTCTTTAACTGCACACGGAAATAGCAAGGTGTTGAGTGATAGATTTATGGTGTTCAAGCAGCTCATTGACACTGAATGTGCCTGCCAGTCTAGAAAACTGGCACAAGTTTCTGAACTGGAAATGGGAAAGCCACAGGGATCACTATAATAAAGAAATTTGAATTTCCAAATATTTATGCCAGTCTCTGCACCAAGCTCCAATGTCATGGGTTTGAGCTATGCCTTACCGACACTCAACCTTGTTAATTCAAAGGCTTTTGTGCTTTCCAGCCAACTAATCCTTGCATCTGCCAGCATGTCAGCTTTGGGTTTGATGTGGAGTGATGCCAGTACCTTGTAACTGTGCATCTGTTCCAGCTCTGTGTTCTGAGCAGTGCCATGGGATCTCCTGTAAAATAACAGGCTTGCCCTGGTCCAGACTTTAATCTCTGTTGTCTCTACTGTCTAAGGGGTTTATTTTACCTATTTGCAGAGGGCCTGGGTGGATGCCAAGCCCTACCAGTGCGGAAGGACTGAAAGCAGGCAGTTTTCTGCTGTTAACACCAACAGCACTAACCCCCTGTGGCTCTAGCCAAGGTGTGTTTCTGTGTGTGGGAGGGAGAATTGCAGAGTTTATTCCTGCCCTCACACCCCTACCACACCCAGCACATCTTCCTATTGCAATCTTCTTTCTGTGTGTAGTAAAGGCAGTGTGACCAACTGTGGGGAATGGAGCAGCCAGGTGGAGTGTCACAAAAGTCCCTTTGTAGGAAAACACTGTAATCTTCTATCTAAACTCAAAGGAATTACAGAGCAAGCATTTCTGTCATGCAGTGCAATGGCTGAACTGCTCATAGTCCTTTTGGCAGCCCCAGATTTTCCTGAAGTGACTGGCTAGTGCTTCCATCACTGCACCCCCAGTCCCTGGCATGTGTAGCTGAGGATTTGGATCCGAACTGGATCCAACCTTTTTCTAATGGAAAAAAAAAATCCAGTGACTTTCTAGATGAGTTTCCAGATTCCTTAATAGGGCTCTTCTCTAAGAGAGCTACCCTTGACTGTGAAAGTATTTCCTGGGAAACAGGGGGGCATCTTGCCTCCTCGGCAGGGTAAAAGCCTCCACAACGTGCTACTAGGCACAGACATAAGGCAGTGGGATGGGGCTATTGCCAAATGGATCAGGTAATCTTTAAGGGAGAAAAACTAAAACCGTAGGTCCTCTGCGTGTGGCTCGCGCATGGGGTGAGTTTTCCCGTTCCTATACAGACCTTGCAAAAAGGAAAAGAGCCCCTAAGTCCAGAAAAGCAAAGCAGTGACAGAGAACAGCCCCGAAGGCGGGGAGGGCAACACCGGGGAACCGGGGCTCGCCCGCTCCCCCCCCACCCCTCGCTGCCCCGGCCCGGGGGGAACCCACCGTTGCTGCAGCTGCTGTTGGCCTCCAGAGGCTCCATCTCCTCCGTGCTCCGGAAGGCTCAGAGCATCGCGGCGGCGCGGGCAGGAGCCGGGGCTGGGCCGGGCTGCCCGCTCACCTGCCCGCACACCGGCCCGCCCGGCTCCGGCTCCGCCTCCTCCGCGACGGGACGGGGCTGGCTCGGTGCGGAGGGTGCCGGGCAAGCCCCGCGCCCTGCCCTGGGCGGGCACCTCTGGCCCCGCTGCGGGAAGCGGAGCGGGTGGTTAGGTGGGATGTGAGCCCAGCTGCGGGACGTGGGGTGCACAGCGAGAGGCTTGTGTGTGCTGCAGAGCTGTGGAGCTCACATATGCACGGAGGATGGTGGAACAGGGAAGTAATCATGAGGCATTGTTTGGGCATTTTGTTTGAAATTGTTTAAACGTAAGAAAAAACAAAAGGGTAAATCTAGATTAGATACAAGGAAGAAATTCTTCACTATGGGGGTGCTGAGGGGCTGTCACAGGGTGCCCAGAGAAGCTGTGGCTGCCCCATCCCTGGCACTGTTCAAGGCCAGGTTGGACACAGGGGCTTGGAGCAACCTGTCTAGTGGAAGGTGTCCCTGCCAGTGGCAGGGGGGTTGAAAGTAAACGATCTTTAAGGTTCTTCCAACCCAAACTGTTCTATGATTCTATAAATTAAATCCCATACTCCTGGAGAGATCTCTTACCTAAAAGTGACTGTAACTGCAGTTAATATAACAAGGAAACATTTCACAAAGTGTCTTGTTGCTTCAAACTTTGGTGTTTATTATTCTGCACTTAGTACTATGGCTATGTACAGTAGGTTGCAGGACTGAAGGATGAAGTTGGGGGATGAGAAACATGTAGAGGTCTAGGGAAGGTGGCTATATCCTGATGGAAGTTTGGTGGTTGGTGCAGGGTTCCCTACATTGTGTACTCATTAGGCAAAGACATGCTCTCTGCTGAAGGTCTGGCCAAATTTCTCTAATGGACATTCCTGACCTTTGAGTTGTAATGGGAAAGGTCTGGCTCCAGGCAAAGGTGCATTTGTAAAAGTAGTATCAACAGAAGATGAGTGCGTAATGACAAGGGCACTCTTATGCTGTGAAGTGTTGTGCAAAAGGAGATCAGAGGTGCACAAACCGCCACGAGCAGCAACTGTGATTTAAGACTCGGCTGCCTCCATGCAGAATCCCAGCCATGAGCTCCTCCATCACTTACATTCATTTTACACCCTTCTACTTCTGACTGTTCAGTTGGTGGGTCTCGCTCATCACGACCACATGGTTCAGCCTGTACTATAGATTGGGGGCTGTGTCTCCCCCATCAACCTGCCACCCCATGCAGCCAAGCCTCTCTTGCTAATACTAGTGTGAGCATTTGGAGCATGCTGGGCAGTGTTCAAGGCCAGGTTGGACGAAGCCTTGGGTGGCATGATTTAGTGTGAGGTGTCCCAGCCCATGGCATTCTACTCTGCACCCCATGTGTTTTGACTTCACCCCCACCCTCCTCTGCTGAGTCCTCCTTTCCTGTGTTTGTGCCTGGTGTCCCTGTGTAGGTAGAAACCTATTGCCAGTACAAAAGCCCTTTCGTTGCAGTAGGAGCCATTAGCCAGATTCAGCTGTACGTCAGCAGAGATAAGTAAAACCAGCTTTTCTTCAGCAAGCCCAAATAGGCAGAAACAGTATCTGTCATAAAGCAGAATAAAGATGTGAGATCTGCAGGATCTGAACCTGTCTGAAAATTAGGTTTTTCTTTTTTTCTCCCCATAAAATATAGCTGTTACTACGGAAATTGCCTTAGACCATCAAGCTGCTGCACTGCCAGCACTGCGCCGCTCCTTCACTCAGTGCCTGATCCTATCTCTGTACAGCTGTTTTCTCCAGCAAACGAAATGTTCAAGTGTTTTGTGAGTCATTTGACTTTAATGGGGTCTGTTCATCAGTCGCAGACCTGCGGGTCACTGGCTGTGCCAGCCAAATCCTACATCCTTTCCTTTATCATAGGGCACTTGATAATCAATCCAAATCGTGTGGTAGCAGGATTTGATGTAGGAAATGAAACGTGTGCTGATTTATCAGTGATCTGCGAGCCACTTCTGCTGTTACATACACACAGGCAAAAGGCACCCTGGGAGAGACAGTGATGACAGGGCTCAGCTTATTTAGTGAATTTAATGGCTGATGCTGCGTAAGAGCTATTGGTGCAATGTGTCACTATGAGGTTGATTGCAGAAAGTGAGCTGATGGCTGAGATGGACAAGGGTTTGCTGTGCTCGCAGTGCTGCCTGCCTGTGGCTGGCTGGGTCTGGGGGAATTCAAGTCTTGTGTTCCCTCACAGGCTGCTCTACCTTGTGCTCAGGTGATGACCCCTTCGCTGGACTTTCTTCGGCACCCTGAGGTCTTGCTTTCAGCTGGAGAGTCCTAATGGCGTTGTGGTTATTGGCAGTTAAACTGTGTCCCAAATGACGTGTCGTTGACATCTGTGCAGACTGCAGTTGCCCACTGTGCACAAAGATGTGTTAGGGAGGGAGCAAATTTGTATGGGATAGATCTGGGCTTGAAATAATCCTTTAGGTCATGGTGCAACCTGATAAATTACTGCCACAAAAGAGGAGGTGATGCGGTCAAAAGCAAAAGGCACTTTGGGCCGCAGCTTTACCTTCCCCTGTCTGCTTGATTTCCTAAAGGAGAAGGCTGATGTGACCACACACATGTGTACCCCTTCTTCATCCCCAAAGATATTTGACCCTGTGGGCTACTTTTTGTTAGATTTGACAAGGGGAGAGATCTCCATGAGAAGCTGTTAATCAGCTCTGGGAAGAGGAGACGTTACAGGGAGGAGGTCCCAGCAGCAGGGGACTCTGCAGTGTGAGCATCTCATGCATCAGGGAAGGCAGGTGCCTAGCTGTCACCTCTGCGTGAGAAGCTTGCAATCACCCATGGGACACAAGTGTGTCATGGATTTATTTCTCTCTGGTGCAGGGGTGTGGTATATAAAATCAAGTCCCAGGAGTTGCATTTGATGGATATAGTAAGGCTGTGTATGGGGAGTTAAAAGCCAGGTAAGATTAGCATGGGATTGTGTACTATGCTTAGTCAAGGGCAAGTTGAGACTGATAATAAAGCAGGGATGCAACCAAAACCTCTTTTTTATTGCTTCATATCCTCATTTTAATGGGAAGGCCGTAATTAAGGGAATTCAGCTCCAAGCTATGACCTCACTGGTTGATACTCCCATCAGATGTTCCCTTAAAAATAGTTCATCAGAAATCAGATTCTTCCTTAGCAGCTCATCTTCTAACAATGCAGCTCTTCCTGAAATACTGGTTTCCAAGCCAAAAACACTTGACTGGGTACAGCAAGGCAGCTTTGCATGCAAATAACGTCTTTGGCAACATCAAAAGGCTTTGTTTCCCCTGCTCTTCTCTGCTCATCTCTCTGGTCTGGAAAAAATGATGGAAAAATACTGGATATGAATTGTCCTGCTGTACAAATAATGGTGGAAGTATCCAGCTAACAGGTGGTGGAGACTTTTGTCCTTTGATGTCTGCTAGGCATGGTGCCTGTGGAAACTTTCAGGACAGGGTTGCAATATTCTGCTATGGCTTTGTATAGTTTGAGAACTCAAAGGAGTTGTTTGCTGCTTCAAAGTAAGAGTAAATCCTCTTTCTGACAATGACCTGGTAGTGTAAGGAATAAGGGAATTGCCGGGTGTTCAGAAGATTGCAGCACTACATGAAAGGATGCTCAAAGCTTGAAAGACTGGACTCTTTTGGGCAGGCAGCTGTTAATTCAGCCTATCCCAAAGTAACCATGTCTGCAGCAGCTGAGGCTGTCATTTTGTGCCATAAGAATTTAGACACCAGCATAGTCACACCCATGGTGTGTTCCCACCCTTGCTGTTCTGCCCTCCTTGGGCCAGTGCACATACCTGTGGGTCTGTGCTGTGGGGCAGCTGACTGAGCCAGGGTCATTAGACCATAAAACACACCCCAATTAGTTTCTCCCAGGGTTGTTAAATATTTTATCCAGATCAGTTCAATGGCCCTATAAACCATCTATGTTGGCAGGAGTGGTAGGTTCATGATGGACGTGGATGCTCAGTGGGCAATTGGAGCCCTCAAGGCATGAAAGCAGCAGTGGGTGCCATAAGATGAAGACATGTAATCAGCAGATTGTTTGTTTGCAGACCTTATCTTCTTGGTGTTTGCATCAGAACTCTTAAATCAAACAAAACTAGGTATGAAAGGCACATCTGGCTTGCAGAAGGGGCCACAGAAAGGGTTATTTTGTTATGCTTTTGGAAGAATAAAGCAATCGCTAATGAACTGTTCTTCACGTTGGTGAAGTGCCATTTAATCTGAAGATGTAAATATATTTAGAAACATTAGGAAGAAGAAAGATGTGGGCCTGTATCTTTGATGCTGGTCCCCTAGGGTTGGTTGTCTAAAATTCAGTCTTGGACCCTGATATTCAAAGCAAATATTGCTACTGGCTCCAGGTGAGACCATGCATCATGTGGCACTTCTTAGGATGATGTCTCTGAGACAGCAGCTAAAATCAACTAAAAAGGAAGAAAAAAGAAACCTTGATGGAGGAAAGGAAAAAACCCAACAACCTGCCCAGTATCAGTGGCTGAATCAGGAAGAAATTCCCACTCTCCTCTCTGCCATTCCCCATTGCAGAACCATGTTGAAATCGGTAAACATTGGGCAACTTTCAGCCCTTGGGCAAACAGTCCTCCACAGCAGCATGTTCACACAGAGCTGCAGGCACATCAGGTGTGCCGTGACTTAAAGGACATCAGAAAGATCAACAAAGTTGTGTGGTCATGGTGTAAAGTTCACTTCCCATTTCATGTGAAGAATCATTGCATTTTTATTCCTAGGAAGTGTTCCCACAGGGAAACCTTGGGAAGAAGACATGAAAGAACATCAATCACACTGTTCTGCCTAGAGCTGATGAAGCAAAAGTGCTCCCGGTCGCATAGATCCACATCAGTTCATTCACCCCAATTCCACAGCTCCCAGGATATCTCTTCCCCTCAATTCCCACTGCTCCTTCTCCAGTCAACAAACATGGGTGCTCCTCAGATACTTTTAACACAAACCTAAGAATTGTTTTATATGGAAATTTGGAGAAAAATAGCAA